AAAACCTTTACGATANAAAAAAATGTATGTTTTGAAACTAAAATAAAATTTACTAACAAAAGCCTTAGTGTAATTAAAATAAATTCTTCCACATGAAGTTTAAATCATACTGCATTAAAGATGTCCGAAAACGTTTGAATTGGGATAATAAATTTGGCTGTATCGTAAAGGTTTTAGAGTTGTATTATTTGTATTCTTTTTAATTTGCTTGAAATTTTTACATGAAAAACATAATATAAATTAGGATTAAATTATTATTTTCTTTTAAAATTGGTTTGTAATTCAAGTATTTACTTGTATCTTGCTGAACTGGTTAAAATTATATTGAAAGAACTGATTTCATAAATCAGCAAAAAATATTTTACTCACTAGTACTTTTGACCTAATTACAGATCATCAGGTCTATTAAATAATTAAATTTTTTGATTCAAGGTTGCATGTTGTTCTCTATTATGTGTTTTGTTAGCACAATGTTGCTGTTGAGAACATATCATACATGAACACTTTAAGAGGAAAAAGGTTGCTTTATTGGCTTGGACGGATATGCATTTCGGGCTTAATGCCCCTCTTCAGTCCTATTATTTATACATAATTATCAAATTGGTTACAGGTATCAAAATTTACAGAATTCATTTAAATAATTATTATACGCGTACAGTGATTTATATGATAAAATACAATTACCTGAGATAGTGACCATTAAGCTGGTATGACACAGCTAAAAAAGTATATATTAAAAAGGTGTAATTTATAAAAATAATAACATAATACCTGTAGGATGTGACATAGTACAGAAGAGATGTGTAGAGAACAGGCTTGATGGGAGATGTTACAAAGAAGTGAGTGATCCTTGTAACATACAGAGGTTGGTGAGAATTGCACAGTGGGGTTTAAGGTGGGAGGGCGGTAGGTCAACTTAATGGGCTTTGCTACTGAGGAAAGGCTGCCAGATGTCATTTATGACAGCTCCAGTATTTAAGTTCATTCTGTGTGTTTCTTTAGTTTTAATAATTTCAATATGTTCGTAGAATTTCCTTTTAATAATGTTTTTTTTTCTTTTAAGTATTTTGATGCTGTCGGGGGAGATCTCGCAGCCAGTTTGGTTGCAATGAGCGGCAACTGCAGAGTTGATGTAATTATATTTTTTTGAATGTTGGAAATATAAATTGTCAGCACTATGAATAACAATTGAAATGACACATTTATAACATTGAATTATTTTTATGTTGTTTTTATTTATATATATTTATCTATTTTGTTATTTTATTAACATCTATTTACTTATTATTTCTCAGTATTTAAATTCCTAATTTTTTCAAACATATTCTATGTTCCATTTTAGTTGCTCAATAGACACTCCCATATGATCATCTGTAATTAAATAGAAAATACTAATCAAATAAAATATCTTTTTATTGATATGTAAGACTGGCTCTTTTTATTACCTTTTCAGTTCCTAATTATCTCAAACATACGCACTCTTAAAATAATGATTTGATAATTGTATATAATTATCTTTAACATATACTGTATTTCTCTTTTGGAACATATCACTTGTAATCATATTTTGAGGAATAAAACAGAAAGTACTGTTTAATAACTATTGCTTTACTCAATACTTTTAATTAATATATACATACACTACATCAGAGCTCTGTAACCAGTGTGCTGTGGCACAATGCCTCCAAGAGGAGGAAAAGCACAAAGTTTATGGTGGGCATGTGAATATGATAAATATGGGTATCCGTTCCTTAACATGCAAAATTAATTGCAGCAAAGTTTTAATTAGTGCGGCTTTACCAGCTGTCTTTGTTTAACTTAGATACCATATATGATTAACGTGATTTTGATATACATGGTAATATCGAGGGATTAATTAATCACTAAGAGATACCTGTATATGCAGATTCAAAAGGGACAATGATTTGCCTAATACATATTTATTACCAACATTTCTTACAAGGAATTCTAATTCTAACAAGCTTCAAACTTTTACGTACGTTTGCAGTCATATTTCAGAGAATGTGCATGCATTCACCCACAGACTCATCTGTAAACAGTGAGAGTCAAATTTCACAGAAGCTGTGCACATTTAAATTTGGCAAGCTGAATATCACAGTTGCCATCTCTATTTTTGTGAAGTGACAAATAGATGATGTCTCTGTCACATGCACCTACAACCACAATATCCCAATCATGTTTTTCATGCTAGGACTGCATGATACTTTGCCCAGGGTGGTTTCCGGATTGTTAAGAAATAAAATTGAAATAAGAATATCAATTATAAACTAATTTCAAATATTTTATATCATCACAAATAAAAAACAGTAAATCAGTATTTTTTTGGTATGTACTGTACTTTGTAACTCCTAAATTTTTTGTATATTTTTACTTATGGTGCACACAGAATTCCATAAAGTACCTAGGTGTGCCATGCATGAGAAAAAGTCGTAGAACACTGCATTACATTATCAAAAATAGTTGGACATTCCAATTTATTAGTGAATGTGGCTGAATCCTGTTGTTATAATGAAGCAAATGTTTAGTGCTATGACTTAGAATGACATTTTGGAAAATTCTATACTTCTACTTTGTAGTGACAGTTTACATAATTGTGTATAACAGACCTTGTTTTGTGAACAGCATATTCTCAACCACAAAATAAGAATAGTTTGATTTGAGAATTATGGAAGAATTCATGGAAGAATGTTCACAGAATCACAAATTGAATCCTGTTAAACATGTTTAGAATGAACTGAAACATTGATTGAGAGCCAGACCAATTTATGTAGTTCCAATAGCTGACTTCATTAATGTTTTCGTGGAGGAATGGGAAACAGTTCTAGCTGAAATATATCAATATCTAATAAGAGGAAAGTCTTCTAAGAGAAGAGGTTGTGTAACAAGAAAAGATGTATCCCCTCTCTGTTCAAACAAGCAGGTGTCTAAATACTTTTGATAATACAGCACATCAACATTTAGATACTTGTTGAAAAATTTTTGGCTTTGTCAATGTTAGTGCCTATGATATCTATAATTGAATTTATATGCATGGCTGTAACAATTAACAGTTATTATGAATATAGATATTTGTAAACTATATAAAAATACTATTAGGGCCTATCTCAGAAAAAATAAGTATAAATTTAAAAACATGATAAAATGTTATATCATTTTTAATTAAGGATAAATCTGCCAGAACTAGACCGAGGCACATCAGCAGAAATATTTAGATATTAAAATAGGACAGATAAGATATATACCAAAATTTTTAACTTGAAAAAGAAGAAAACTCAGTTTTAATGATAGTTTCCTGAAGGCCATATTTTGAAATATCAAAAGCATTTTTAATATTTCAACATATATATCATCTCCAGGAAAATGACAAATAAATATGTGTATGTAAATTGGAACATATTTAGAATTTGAACATTTGTGCAAAGATTTTGCAATTAAAAATGATTTAGAAAATATAAAATAAAAGAAATAAATACATAAAAATGTATAAATTTACAAGAAACCAGTAATAAGTTACATGTCAAAATGAAAAAGTGTATTTATGCACACAAAAACAAAACTATCACCATAGTTGCCAGTAGCAGATGATTACAATATGTAATCAGGGTATGTCCAGTGATTCAGTAATGTTAATATAGAAGAGTATATTGGTTTTAATTTTAAAATTAAGGCAGTTTACCAAATAAACAGAAGTTTTGGGTTAAGGATGTTTTCAAAAGCTTTTCTTCATCCCACAATGATATGTATTTCTTATCTATGACTGCCTTTGTGAATTCTGTATTTCTCCTATTTTTGCTTGAGGACTTTCTTGTGTTCAAAAACCCATGCTACTAACTGCCTAGAAGACACTCCAATATATAACGTAGTATTTTCAAGCAATATAAAATATAAAAATTTAATATCTTCAAGCAAGTGGGATAGAAGCACAAATTCTTCAATAGCATACACATCTGACTGTTCAAAAGTAATGCAAGGAGTTCTAACCTTGACTAAAACTTCCTGAGACTAATACAAAGAGCAATTGAAAGATATACTTATACTTATTATAAACTGAGATTAATTTTATAGAAATGTTGTAGATATAAGGTATAGCCATGGAACAATATTGTCTATTATACATGGTGAAAAATAAGAATAAGGAATGACAGACCTTTCTTCAGATGTAAGCAAACTTGCTATTAGAATAACCTGCTTTTCATAAAATTATATATCAAATTCATATTAAAATACCTTGAGATTTCTTATTTCTTTCTTGAGAGAAAGAAATAATTGCAAAATCTTCATAAAAATTTTTGAATTTTAAATATGTTCCAATTCACATATTCTGGTTCATTTGTTGTTTGTTTGAAGATTATATTTTAAAATATCAAAAACATTTGAGTTATTAAAAATATTGTTTCTTTAACACAAAAAACTGAGTTTTCTTCTTTTCTAATTTAGATATTATATCATGATAATGCTCTACCATTCTGTTTTGCTGTCATGCAGCAGGAACTGCTAAATCACATACCTGTTGTACTGTCACATTTGATATCTCCATATTTTTTCTGATGTTTTTTTATGTATACATGATAGACAAAATATACATGTTGCTTTTGTCTTAATATAGAGAATAACATGGCCAATAAAATATGTATACTCCATGTAGTTAAGTAAGAAGAGTTTTATAGGTGCTTTGATGATTTCTATGCTCAACTACAGAAATCATTAGAGGGAACAAAAGTTATTTTATACAAATATGGCAAATTGTGAACAAACTGCAAATACTTAGAAACTTTCAGGCTGTAGTGTTATTATAACAAATATCATAAAAATTTACCACATTTTAATATGTTTAAATAAGTATAAAATATATTTATTTGTTAAAATACTATTCATATTTTTCTTTTGATATTTTGAATTATTAATATAAAATATGATTATAATTTATAATGATAACAGTAAATTATTTAACAATAAAACTTATGACTATTTTTACTCACTGCTGAATTGATGCTTGTCCAACCAAAGTTTCAGTAATGGCCTCTGCAGAATAAAGATTGATAGGAGAATTGTATTGTTTGTGAAGGACTTTAGGACCTGAAGTTGGAAGTGATTCTGGAGTAGGTGTTCGACCTGGACTATAAGAAGAGCCTGGTGAATCTGTACTTCTTAAACTATCTTGAAGCTTTAAATTAATTAAATTTTGTTATAATTATTTTACAGAACAAATGCATTTTTAAAAAGGGAAATTTTATATTACCTTTGCCATAATTAATGATTCTGTTACTTTATTCACCATGGCCTGATTAGAAGGAGATGTTTTCCAGTTTGGATCATTTACAAATCGTAAATATGAACCAGTAGGTAAGTCGTGTCTTGGTTTGGCTTGTGGAGTAATGAGAGGAAATGTTCGATGTGCCTATTTGGATCGAGAGAATATTAAATTTTTGGATTTCATTGGAAGAAAAACTTGTTTTAAAAATTTCCATTTTTTTTCTAAGTACTGTACTTATTTTGAGTTTATTTACAAAACATACTTGATTAACAATAGACTGCCTCTCTCGATGCTTTTCAACCAGGTATTCTTGTGATTCTTCATCTGTTAGCTGAGAATCAGGAGTATAGGGACGATAATTGTCTGTAAACTGTGTTGTGGGGAGTGGTTTAGTTAATGGGGGAGGAGGAGTAGAGCCAGCACTTGGCGGTGAAGCCAAATGGTACATTGTTACTGGACCTCCAGATAGATTTAAAAATGGAGTGCTTCCAAAAGGTGAATTTATTGGAGTGGATGAGCCAGATGTTGCAAGTTTACTCCTGTAAAAAACAATCTGATTTATGTAACATATTACTATTATTGTATAGATTAATTTTATGAAATTCTTACCTTTGTATCACTAATTTTAGATTGTTCCCAGCTTTACGAAATATATCAGTAGCTTGCTGATGAGTTAAGTTTCTTGCATCTGTATTTCCAATCATTAAAATAATATCTCCTCTGTGAATTTCACCCTCAGAAGGACTTCCAAGGAATACCTTGTAAAAGTAATTAATATGAACATTATTAAAATTATTATTAATAATTTAATATAAAAAATTTTCATTAATATGAAAATATAAACAACAGTTACATAATTTATTTTCAAAGAAATTGTATAAAAAATCATTATCTGTTGTTTAAGATATTTTATATTATCTTCTGTTTACAACAAAAACATCTATAAACTCTTCTTAATTAAAATTAATTAAATGTATTAAACTAATATAATATAATCAGATAGTTTTAATTTAGAAACTATATAAATAAACAAAATTTCAATTAATTTAGATATTAAAAAATAAAAAAACTCTAACTAATCAAAAGAGTTCTTTATAATGTCAAAATGTGGGTGTTCAGATTTTGATGTATTTATACAAGTGATTTTTCTTGTCTTTCTGCCAAGTTAACATATTAATTCATTTGATGTTCACCTTCGTTCTTTCTTCAAGTGCAACAACCAAAGTATTTTAAACAAGTATATTTTCATAACATTGAAATATTTTTGGTGATATTGAATTGTTATAATTGTGAACTAAACAACAATGAGCAAATAAAAATATAATTATTTCATGTTAAGATATTTCAAAATAATTGATACTTGAGTTTGTTCAATTGATTTTGTTCTTGGATGAGCTTTTTAAAATAAAGAAATCTTTGCTTAGAGCTTTTAGTATTGTTTTACTAATTATAAATATTAATAATTTCTCATATAAATTATTTTCTTATTAAATATCATATACTTGAGTTAATTGTTTTTAACAGTTTATTAAATTTTATAAATTAAAATTTCAACTTTATAATTATATATATATATTGTAAGTTTATAATCAATTTTTTCATAATAACTTTTAAATAAATTAAAATATGAAACTATATAAATGCATTAAGCACTAAATGCATGTTTTAAGGTTTATGTTAAACATGATGTTTATATTTATCCTTGAGAGAGATATTTTGTAAGTGTAATAACCTTAAGTTCTGCCTACCATTAGTATAATTATAGACAAATAGTCATATGCCAGAATTTAGAGAGAAGGAAAAAAAATGTATGTTTTGAAACTAAAATAAAATTTACTAACAAAAGCCTTAGTGTAATTAAAATAAATTCTTCCACATGAAGTTTAAATCATACTTTTATATTAAAAAAATTTAAATATATAATTTGGGACTTTGTAATATTAAACTTTCATTGTTAAAATCTGTAAAATACTAAGAAACAATTAATAAAGTTTATATACATATGACTATGTTGTCTTAATATGCAAGTAAACTATTTTCAATTTTATTAATTTTTTAAAGCAGTTTTATTGATAGAAAAATTTTGGCTGTACCATCCATATTTGGTATGGTGAAAATTTATCCTTTTTGTGCTGTGAAATTAGTCAGAATTAGTATATTTAGTAGAATTAGTTTCAAGAAAAGTTTTGCAATTGAATCAAAAAGATATTTATATTCTCAATTTCAAGATATCCTGTTTATAAATTCCTCATTAGTTCCAAATTTGAAATCTAATGATTTACTTTGGTTGAATGGTTTCTGTTTGCATTCTTGGCAGCCTTTTTGAAGTTTTGCTTCTCGAAAACTGCTAATCAGTTGCAAATTAATGTATTACCCATTCATTTCCAAACAATGAGTGCATTTAGCAGTTTAAAATTTTCTAATACAGACATGTGGATTTAAAATTTCATTATAAGATTTCATCAGGCCCTTGACATAAATTTATTTTTTCATAAATAAGTATATTTATATTAAAATATTTAGTCTTCAAAATTTTTATTAATATTGAAATTAATGTTTTTAATAACGACTTTTTCAAATGAATAACTTTTAAAAAGTTATCCACCATTTCTTAAGAATGCTAATAGAATGAATATAAATTATATAATTCACATTCATTCTCATTTTTTGTTAGAAAATCCAATATCAGCCTACAAATCTGTTAAGTAAATAATTTAATTTTGATTCTAAATTAACTCTTGAATTGTTGATCTGTTTGGACCAGTTCACTGATAGTTATCCACCTTCTTCCTTCTGTGCTTTGATCTACAGCTTCAATGAGCCAACAGAAACATCTGCATTAGCATTATCAAATATAGGCTATTTGTTTCTGTGTCTGTGTTCTAATAAGCTGTAAAATATCAAATAATATAAGCTTCTCTAATCTAAGATTTAACCCTTTCAGAAATTCTGGTTTTAAAATGTTGCAAGGCCGCCTTTGTTATGAAATGATTATGTGTTGTTATTAAGACCTAGTTACGTCACTTAACAGGGAAGTTATTGTCTGTCTATAAATAAATTTTACAAAGATGCTGTATGACTTGGAGAGAAATGTAATTTATAGGAATTTCAGGGTCGGGCTTTACGACTTTTGTCTCTTTGGATCTTTTCCAGTGTTTTCATTTTCGCTTAGATGCAGCTGAGCTTTGCACTCTTATTTAATTTAAGAAGAATCAAAAAGAAAAAGTAAACATAAGCTGTTTTATATGCTGAGTATTAATAGTGATTGCATAAATAATTATTAAGTTATTCTTGATCCATTTCCTTTACTTGAAAATCCTCTTTTTAAATCATGTAAAATATCTACAGAGAAAGAAGTAATGTAACATGGAAATTTAATATTTAGTGAAGAGTGCTCTAGAAATATAATTTTGTTTAAAATCTGTCCTCTCTTCCTGTTACAAATTGCAAAGATAAACTATTTTGAATTAAATTATGAGATTCTTTGTAGAGGAATGTTTATAATGATTGTATTATTGCAGCTGTCACTTTTTATTTTGGATTACATCGTTTATGGAAATAAGTAGAATGAACCAATTTTTTTTACATTTTAATTGTTATTTTCAATGCATTACAGTTAAAATTTTAAAGAAATAATATTACGGTTTGAGTTTATAATGCTACAAGATTTTGAAAATAAAATTTGCTATTCTTTACAAATACTGTATTTAGATTCTTCAAATCCTGAAAGTTTCCAGGAATAAGGTTTTTTTTTTATATATATTTATATCTGATTTATTCAAAAATAAACAGTTCTATTATATAAAATTACAGAGAAAAAATTTTATAGGAAGAGATGCTGTATGAAGTAACAAAAAGTCATTATTTATTTATTAAAGGTAAACGGTTTGATGAAAAAAAAAGATGTTTAAATTTCTGTTAAACAAAAAGTTAAACATTTCAGTTGAAAAACATATCACAAATTGCTGACCAAAACGCTATTTTTGTTTTGTTCTTAACTTCATCAAGGATAATGAGTAATCGAAACTTGGCTGTGGCGATGATTAGCCAAACGATGCAGTCTAATTTCGTTTTTGCAATTAGATTTCCTCCCTTTTTTTCATAGGAAACTTTAGAAGCTCACCTTATTCAATGTTTAAAACTGAAGTTAGATTGATTGACTGCTCAATTTTAAGTTGATTCACTTGATTAAAAAAAATAGTGCAGTGCTAAAATAGCTAGTAATGTTATCCGTCTTTTAGCTTTTTTTTTTTCTCATTAAGTAACACCAAGAGTCCATTGAAAACTTAACGTTCAATAGTTTCCGCCGGTTACGATTCAATGGGGTTTATTCAATAAACATTTCACTAAAGAATCTTGTTACAATGCCATTTTTGCTGGCAGAAAGAATGAATCTTTCAATAAGAAAAATAAAATATTTCTACGGCATTCTTTTCCACTTAGGAGAAGATAGAATACAATTTCAAGATGAGCAATCCAATAGGATTCCAAGGATCAAACTGATCAAGGCGTAACTAATTAAAATAAATAGCGTTTCATGGCAGAATCCCAATCTGGATTTCTTCTTTAGAATTAAGGACGGATGAACTGCCAATTAGTTTCTAACTAAATTTTAAAACGGCAATTGAAACCCTTTTAATATTGTATATATTACAGTATAAACAATATATTAAGTAAAGCAATTTGCTAAAATATTTAAGGATTTGAGATATTTAAATACGGAATGAATGCTAATTTGCCAAACTTTCCAGAAACTTGGCAAATTAGCATTAATCGAGAGGCAAAACTTTACTAGATGATGTTATCTTGTTTGTTGTTAAATAACATTTGAGTTGCGCTCAAGGTCGTGTTTCTTTGTAAACAGCTGTTTTAGAAACTGTAATTTTTTCAGTTTTTATTTGCGTTTTATGCGGGTTCCGATGCGAAATATTAATATATTCGCCTATCGTACATTATATTTTCGTTTTTAAAAATATTTATAAATAATTAAGCTAATTAATTAAAATTGGAAATGCTGTCGTAACGTCATAATATGAAACGACACAAGGGCGATTTGAATCAAGTTTCACTTGCCAAAACGTTGGTAAATATTCGTATTGTTATAATCTAAACGATGAGCTGAATAATCATCTCACGTTAGTCATTCTTTTGTTTCCGGAGACGCAACAAAGACCTTAGTTGACTTTTGAATCATTTGACGCTTGCGCTTTCTCAGAAATGGCTCGTGTTACAATCGGTTGTTTGGCTTCAGCATCACTTTGGCTCAAAATAAACTCCAAAAGCAAGCAAGCAGTAATCGTCAGAAACTGCTGACTCCCAATCCTAACCTTGGAAATGTAGGACGGATGTTTCTTTTTGCAAATGTTGTATGTTTAATTTCTAATATTATTAATGACATCTTTGGATCCGAGATTATCAGAATTAGTTTTAGCGTATTTAGAAATAAATAATAATAAAAAAAAAGAACTGAAGTGTGAGAAACAGGATACTTGATAAGTAGTATTTAAAAAAATCAACTCTATAATAAAAATAATATCATGTGATTTCATTTATTAATTAAAAACTCCCTTAAATCTGTTAAACAACAGTTTAATTTTTTAGAAAAATCTTATAAATCTAGCTTCAATATTTCTTTAATATTTTTCTCTCCGTAAACATATAATTTTCTTTGATTTATAGTTTAAATATCATACAAATTAAAATTATAATTTTTTTTTCATTCATAAATTATTTATTTATTTACTAATTAATCACTTACAAATCAAAATAAATTTGTAAACTTTAAAATTGACAATTAAAAAAAGAAATTAAATGATGAAAACTAACAAATTTATAAATTTTACTGTTAATTTGAATTAAATTTATTAATTAATTTCAAAATTTATATCATTAACATTAATTTGTGAATGAAAATGATTTAAATGTACAGAATTTTATCTAATTAGGTACCCACTTAAAATGAAACTTAAACTGCTTATATCATTTCGAAATTAACATTTTAATTTCATCAGTTTACTTTTAAATAATCGTAATTAATTCTTTAATCATAATCATATTTATATTTTTAATTAATTACATTATTTAAAGTAAATTAATTGTATTGTTACTGTTAAACTAAGTAAACACCAAGTCGATTACTTTTAACAAGCGTATTTTCCTAATAAAATGAAATTTATATTTTTAAATAATGAACGGGAATATTAATTTTAAGCTTAATAATTTTTAGGGATATTAATATTTCTCAGTGAAACTTTAAACGTTGCGTTTGGTAGTAAAAAACAAGGAAAAAGTAGCCAAATGTAATATAATCGGTGCCGAAAGGTCAGAAGCCCCTTAGAATGTGAGACAAGAACGTTATTTTTCTAACCGATTTATTATTGTAAATCCTTGAATGTAACATTAACAACAACAGCTACTTATGTGCCGATACAAAGCACTCTTTATCTAACTTTATGAGAAAAATACGCAATTTTGATATTACACGCTTAATAAACCCTAATATAAATTAATTCTCGAGTGTTTAATATTAAACAGGAAAACTCTTGAAAAATTGCTAATAATTTTTTAGTTAGTTCCTGTATTTTGGCTTCATTTTTCTTATAACGTATGTTGCGCTAATTGCATCAGGTGTATTCCTTTCGACCTGTTATATAATTAGTTCTAAACAGATTTCGATATTTTAAACAAGTCGATTAGGCAACTGGAGTTTAAAATTTTCTCTAGAAATTGCAAATTTTTCTAAAGAAGAAAATTGATTTTAATATAAAGTTAAGAAATATATTTTTATATTAAATTTTATGTAATTATTTCATAAATTTGATCCTGTTTTATAAATATGATTTAACGCCTATCGCTTATTTAACTGGAGTTAAAATAAAGTTATTCGTGATGATATCTGAATAAAAACCATAAATAAAATATATATATAAAATTTTTTTTTGGTTGTCATAAAAGTTTTAATAATTAAATTGCTGGAGATAAAGATAAAATCGAGTGGTTTAATCACTTCTTAAATTGATTTAATATAAAAATGCTTAACGAAACTCACCCTTTGAACCGAAAGGGGATATCCCACATCCTTTCCTCCATGCAATCTAAAGCCCCATGGAGTGCCTTGACCATCTCTAGCTAGCTCGACAGTCACTATTCCACCGGCCATGATTGATCATCGATCGCATCTAAGGCATCACACGTATTATCTTTAAACCGAGATCAGTCTCGGCTCCGTCTGCTTTACTTGGCAACCTGTTTGTTACTGCTATTCATCCCAGGGTGCTCTCTGCAGGCTCACTCACGTGGCACACTCCCATTTATATATAGAAACACAGACGTTCTTTTAGGATAATGACAACATTCGCTTTCGTCTGTTATTTCTATTCTAAATTTATTGCATTGATGCGTTTTCCATTCTTGAAAAATCCGAGAGATTTTTTAAAAAGAAAAAAAAGTTACCACTAGTTAGTAGAGTCGCTACAAATAGAATTATTTACTTTTTTCCACTCTGACACTTTCTTAAAGGATCGAAAAATATTTCATCCATTTTTACTTAGAACAATTCTTTTCATTCCTTAAAAGACTAAATTCCACTTTGTCTTCCTAAGTCGAATTGGAAATTAATTTATAACGTGATCTGCTCAATAATATCTCATTATCTGAGTATTTGTTTTCAATGAGTGACAAGAGAAGGAAGCAAGCCAATGTTTCAGTTCGTTTATATGAAACGTACGTACAGTACATATTGGCTTACTTACATAGCTGTTTGTCACTTCCAAATATCCAATATTTCATATAATAATACAATATTAAGGTTATATTCCAAACAATGCTATGTGGTATTTTTGTTTACATACATGGTTTTATTAATAAAATCTTAAATGTTATCTTTATTTAGTATCGTGAGCATATATTTCTTTATCACAAACAATTGAGATTTTCCAAATTTTCGGATTATCTAATTGCCATGTAAATTTAGTGTAAAAAATAAATTTTGCAAACACTGCAACAAATTTCCTTATATTCCACTAAAATGCCTTAGTCTATTAAAAACTTTACTGTAAGTCCCAATAGCATCTTTTATTTAACAAAATAAATAAATATGCATATAACAATTTTTGTATGATTTTTTTTTGTTTTTAAATTTGTAATAGACTAGACTTATCCAAAAGGTACCATATTTAAGTTTGCCCCTGGTTCCAAATTATCTAGCCTTATTGGGCTACAATTTGAAAAAAATGTAGACCTATAAATTCCCACTGTAATCTGTCCTTCCTTAATTTTTGTCTTTCCTTAATCTCGAGAATGGAGTTAGTTAGATGAAATTCAGGACTAGATATGGAAACCTTAGGGACAAGAGGCCCCGATTAACTATATTCGTTATTTCAATTCGAAACTTTTCCCCTGAAAGCAGTTAATAGATGACTGGCACGACTATATTGCTAACAGGAAAAGTGTGATGACAGGGGCAGGACACTATTAATTTGAGGTGGAGAGTATATACTGTATTTTAAATTAAATTAATTAAAAATATGATTAAAAATTGCAGCCCGGAATTGTGACAATGCCACAATAAATAAATGCTCGTTTATCTGAATTGGATGCGATTCCATGAAGTCCGGATAAACTTTTTTTATTATATGTTAAAATTTGATAAATGCCTCAAAATCAATAAAGCAAATTCAAGTCCATAAAAAAATCAATAGAAAAAACGTTGAAAAGGGATAAAAATGTCTTCTTACTTAGCCCTTTTTGCACCTCAAAAATATAACAAAGTTTTTGAACAAGTCGACATTATCTTTAGGCTCTCCTCCGCTTCGATATATAAAACTCATTAAAATGCTTCTTTGTTGTTATTAAATTAATTTGTAACTCAATAATTTAATTGAATTGATTTATTTTTATCAGTTTTAACTGTTTCAGTTTCGATCTAAAAATTCTGATCGATTAATTTCTAGTTTCGGTTTACGTTTCGTTTTACTCTGTGTAGCTTTGCTTATAAATAGCTGCATTTGATAGCCTTCATTTAATAAAGGATTTTGTGAGTGATGATAAAGATCAATCCGGAGGAACTCTTTAAGCTTTCATAGGTGTGTGTGGTGTATGTACTTCAACATTGTAAGTAAATTAACAGTTTTTATTCACACTATAAAAAGATCGAAAATAATTTCCGTACTAAGTAGATGAACTGTATGAAGATATAATATTTATCATATATTCAAAGAGCATTCCATTGAAAATTCTTTACTTTCGTAGCATCCTATATTCAGTGCATCATAATGGAAGAAGCTAGGAAAAATCAGGTAAGAAATTACTCGAATTTATTTTATAAAATTCTAGTTTTCAGCTTGTTTTTTATGTTTTATTAATGTGAGGTTTTCCGATTGGTGGAAAGTATCACGACAGTCGAGCAGTCAAAACAGTCGTGTGGGCGTGGAAAGACTCACTGAGACAAGTTTACCATTTAAAACCGTTTAACAGATACTCGTATATAAATTTCCTTACAACTATTCATATAATGAGGCGTAATGCCTATCCAACGGTGAGAAACAAGTCAGTTCAAAAAAAGTCCAAATGTTCCGGCGATCGTTTCGTTTAGAGTTGTTGCATGTCTGAAGAGGGGAGGGGTTACGGAAACTTGGACGAACTGGGATAATAGAGGAAGGGAGACGAGTAAAAATTTCGATAAAAATGCGGACGTAATTTATAGACTACCTCATAGGGCTCAAGTCAACTGTGGGGCCTATTTTGTCGATTGTGAACTTTGCCGAAAGCGAAATGCACAAAATACACGGACGCTACTTGAAAAGTTAATTACGAGTTGGTTTATCGCGAGCGTAGTTCGGAATCGTTTTACATTTCCAAACGAGAATGTTGGTAATTGTTAATGTTTTGGTAAAGTGTGGTCTCCAGTGGCGCAATTGGTTAAGCACACGGTACTTATAAGTAGTAGGGGAACCCGGGGCAGAATAGGGTAGCTAACAAAGAAGTTAAAATTATGTCAACAATAAAAGAAAAATAACAAAAATATTACATTATTTCCTTTATTTATTATATTTGTCACATAATTATTTAAATTAGATTTAAAAAATCAATAATTTTGTATGAAAAATAAATCATTAAAAAAAAGTTTGTCCACATCCCGTTCCGCCCCGCACTCGGGGCAGAATGAGATTAGTGCTGAAATATTAGAAAAAAAATATTAGTTTTGATGCTTACAAAACTCGCAAACCAGCTCGGAATCGTCATCGTCGTTGTCAAAACCCGCACAAGACATAGGCTATGAGCCCATCTTTTGCATGCGACACATGAACACCAACCCTCAATCGACTGTGAGTAAGCCTGGATGCAATAAAGGCAAGTCGTATCATCTTCTTCTTCCGAATAATCGTCCCCTTGTTCTTCTTTTTTATTAGACTTCATTTTTTACTTTTCCTTTACGGGAAACCGTCCCATTGTGCCCCACCCGTTGTGCCCCAAAGCAAGCACATGCTTCTAAAAATCAAGGAGAGAAAAAAGTTTATGATTACTTTCCGCCTTACTTCATTCTAAAAATACAAACAAACAAATCTTTAATAAGCTAGGCTATATAAATTTGGTTAAATTATAAAATATACTATATACTTTCATTGTTTTAATGTTGATACACTTGTAATTTCATCAAAAAATCACGACGCAGGGTTTTATTGGTCAACGACAAAGCGAATCTCGGTAACCAAGTATTCACACTGACGTGTTGTCGCAGTTAGTAGGACAAGGAGCAAACCAATTCCCTCACCTCTCTTTCATATGTAAATCGTCTTTCCCATTCCGCCCCGGGTTCCCCTACTTGTGAGTTCGAGCCTCACCTGGGGACGTAACAAATTCTTTTTTAAATTGCCTTTCGCTATCGGCAAATTAGTTGGGCTGGACGAGTATACTTTTTGCGCTGTTCTGCTATCATCATAGCGAGCAATCATCGATCGATTCGGTGTCCGGCGCGCAATTGTTACCATTTCGAACGACTTTAAGAAAGCACCGAGGTGTTTTGCTGGAATGCGAGGTGCGTTTCGGTGAATTTGCTCAAAAATGTAAAAGGGCTGTCTACAGAATGACGAAAGCATATTCACGCAAAAATTTGCGAAACTTCCCAAAAACGGATAAAAATTTATCTTGTGCATGCCAGGGATCGAACCTGGGGCCTTCCGCGTGTTAGGCGGATGTGATAACCGCTACACCACAAGCACTTGTTCGACTAAACACGAATCTGATCAATAACGCATCTCTGGATTACGTCCACCGTTCCGATCCGGAAACATTTCGCCTCGTCGGATTTACCGGTTGCGTCGTTAAGTTTTTATGAGGCTTCACATAGGGCAATGTCCTTCAACCAATATTTTGGTAAGTAGGCGTAGATAAAATACTGAGTGGTCGTAACTGAAATACTTCTATTCGACACTGACTAGAGAAGTATTTATCAGTCCAAATGCAAACAAATTTCAGAACACGTGGAAGACATTTCCATAAAAGATTTATTACCAAAATTCATCGCTTTCAGCGGAGACATGTCGAAACGTGTCGAGACATGCAGATGCAGATGAACACTGTTCAATGACCAAACGAAATAGACTCTGTGATGCTTCTTGCAAGCAATGTGATACCGTTTTTTTAAGGCTACCAAATTTACACGTCCACGACAAAGCACAGTGTTTAAGTGTCTCCACAACCAAAAATCACACAAATTCGATCGCGATCTGAAGAACGATGTGTCCAGACGGTAAAACTCGTGATTCCGATCCTCATCATAATTTTTATATATAAAATTATGATATATTTTTTTAAACTCTCCCCTTTTAGCAAACCCATTACGAGTTCGGCCATGCCCGCAATGGGGCGGCCGGGTGGTGAGGGACGGGGCTTGACATATCCAGACAGTCCATCCCCGAAAAATTCCTGGGGGTTTTTTCGACCCGTTCCAATTCGATTTCGGGTCTCCCAGAGCGGTGGGCTGCCACCTTGATCGCTCGGCCATCCGGTTAAATTACGGTAAGGGTCGGGAAAATAATTTTATTTTTTATATTTACAAAAAACATAGAATTTATTATACTGCAACTATATTCACTTTGTTCGCTAACAATTTAAATATAAATATAAAATTTACAAATCGATTTACGGGATCTTTCAGGATTCGGACCTAGTCTAATGTAATCGTCTAGTTCGACACGGTCTGACTTCATCCCTGTTTTTAGAAAAAAGTTCGAAATCATCTTGATAAATTTATAATAATTAAATAT